AAAAAAATTAGTAGTAACAACATACTAATTGTTCAATAAATGAAATATGCATGAAGTTCAATAAAACATGTTTTTATATGTACTCTTTGTGATGTCTCCTTCCAGAGGCTAGGTCCCCGAAAATAATAATTAAGGGTACTTATTATAAACTAATCAGTGAAGTAAAAATACGGTATGACTAGGAATCATGTTTTTAAGTATATACTCTCTCCATTCTTAAATAAACTTTCCTTTCGTTTTTTTTGTCCCCAAATAAACTTCTCTTTTTCCTTAAAAAACCTCTTTTACCCTTACTTTTTCATATCCTACCTATCACAGCATACATTTTTACTAACAATCTACCTATCACATCTTACTTTTACACATCACATCAAGAGTATTTTTGGAAAGTCAACACAAAAATATCTCTCTTTTAAATTCTCAAAAAGTCAAAATGAAAGTTTATTTAGGGACGAGGGAGTATTAATGTTTGATACGACCTGAATATTGTTACATTGTTGACATAAATGAGCAATAAATTTATTTAATTCAAATAACTTATTCAGTATTATTCTACATTCATTTATTGAGATACAGTTTTTTTTTAAAGTGAATAATTAAATTGGGACAATTGGGGGAGGGGGAATATGAAAGTGGGTTTTAAAGTGCAGAGGCCACAATATATGAACTTTTGATCATCATAAACTCTTTATATAAAGTGATACAAAATGTTTTTTTCGATTAGATAGAAAGGGTTTTATTTCATGGAGTATATGGTGGAAAAATAAAGGCGCCATTATTATTGAAACAATTTTTGCATTAAGTCTCCTTTTATTCAAATAGTGTAATTGGAATTAGAGATAATAATTCTAATTCTACTCTTTGGTAGCACAAAAACATGTACATTTGGAATTAATAATGCCAAAAAAAATTGAATGAGAGAATTCAATTCCAATTTAAATCAATTTTACAGAATTTCAACTTTCATCAATTCAATTATAATTCCGTCAAATTTGTGTACCAAACAGATCCTAAGATTTTGAGACAAACATAAAATATTCTTTATCGCGTGGTAAATTTCAATTTCTAAAATTAAGGGGGGAAACAGCAGAAGTATAAAGAGTGCGATGGACCCTAATCAATATTTAATGTTAAATAATGAATATTTAATTGCATGATCATTATTGTATGAAAAAAGAGTGTGTAAAGTCACACAAAATGCACCTCCCACAAATAAAGTGCTAGTGCCAAATTAAATCTTCATTTTTTTTGTTGAGAATTAATAATGGTTTATCAAGACTCATCGACAGTTTGTCTTATTAAATCAAGAATAATTTTGTCGCTCCTTATCACCAAAAACAGTCATAAATGATCAACAGCAATTTCAAATTTAAGTGATAAAAGTATTTTTGTAGCATTAATGTCGATGCTTATCTCGTAAACAAAAATGGGACTAATGTTTTACTTCGTAATTTGTATAAATATATTCTCTATCTTGTGAATAATCTATCGAGCTCCGTTCCCAAAAACTTTAATATACATAGGCCTTGTTTGGATACTAGCAGTTGGCAGTTGGCTGTTTATGTTAGCTGATTTGAATGGCTGATTGAGTTAGCTGTTTTGACCGGCTGTTTCTGTTACCAGTTAAATTTTAAGTGTTTGGCAACTTTAGCTGTTTATAGTTAGCTGTTTGTAAATAAAATTACATAAAAGGACATCCCTCCATTTATGGTATATTTTATTTTACAATTTTTTTAAATATCATATCATAAATATATTTTTTTAAAATTAAAAAAATTAAATAAAAAATTATATATATATATATATATATAGACATGATATTTATTTTTCATTTTTTTACATGTAAAAATTAAATCTTTACTATATGGAATATTAAATTTTAATTTCATTTAATTCATAATAAATTATAAATATAAATTTTTTAATGAATTATAAATATAATTTTTTTAATTTCATTTTATTTTTTCGTATTTAATTTTTTTAACTTTTATTTTTATTTTTTACATATATTATAAAATATCTTTCAACAAAAATGATTTTAAAAAAAATATTTTTCCTAACCGCCAAGTCCAAATGCTACTCACCTTGGCATTTCAGATTTTGGCTTTTCGGATCAAAATGCCAAGTGAAAAAGCCATTAGCCAAACAATGGTTTTGGCGGTTCGCTTGGTCAAAAAAGCCAAAGTCAGTCAAAGATGCCAAAAGCTATCCCAAATGCTGTTTTCCAAACACGGCCATAGACTGTGACAACAGACTTATCACTTAAAATTGACGTGGATCATATTTCGTGACAATTTTCATGATAAAGACTTTGTCACAAAAGTTTCAAATTACAATTTGTGACAAAAGACGTGTTTAGTATTTTATAATATTATTAAACTTTTTGAATTATTATATATACTCCGTACTATAAAAAACATGTGTTTAGTTAAAGAGCTTTCTTTATGCATTTTTAGACTATATATTGTTGTGGACTAAAAAAGGAAGTTTAATACGTACACAACATGTTTTCCAAGTGTTGCAATTAGGCATAAATCTGCTCTCTTTCACGTTCGATTGCACCTGTATTTGTCACGTTAAATTGATCTTATTGCTAATAATTAAAAAACTAACCTAAAAGTCATCTTTTTTCCTGGGTATGAATGGAAAAATAAATAGATAATAATAACTTGAATTTAAATATGTTAAAGAAGGAAAGGGAATATTGAAATATACGTAGTATTTCCATATATTTTCGTATTTATTTCTTTTGGTAGTTTCATTGTATAATGATTTATTTTTTATTGTTGATAGTTTTGATATTAGGTCTCATGCTGTGAGACCCTATATATACGACATTTTTGTATATTGTAAATCATAAGAAATACAAGAGAATTTCTCCCTAGTTTTAAATTCTTTCAAAATCAGATTATATCAGATATATTTAAATCTCATTAGACTGAAACAATTCAATCGAATCAAATATATTCATATGCATTCAGATCATATCAGATAATTAGATAAAGTCAATGCAACCTAATTGTGTTCAGTCAATTTGATGTACATCATTTAGGGTGAATCAAAGATATTCTTTTTCTTTCTCTCTGTCTCTCTCTCTCCCTAAATATCATTGTTATTTGGACTTCTATGATTTTTGAGGAAGTTGTATTTTTGTATTGACTTTTCTAAATTATCTTCAATCAGGGGTAAGTAAAAGTAGGACTGATGCGTAGATTATTAGTGAATGTATAATGTGATAGATAGAATAAAAATTAGTAGAGATAAAAGTAATCTTTTAATAAAATAAGAGAAAATAATTGCGGGACAAAAAAAGAAAGATGAAAGACTTTTAAGGACGGGAAAATTAGTCATATATCAGATACAATTTTAGCGATAGTATTTGACACTGCTAAGGTCCTGTTCTTTTATTTTTGAAAAATTGACTTCTAACTTCTTCTAATTTCTTTCAACTTCTAATTTCTTTCAATAACTACATAATATAAGAATTTGCAGCACGTACTTGGAAAACATTTATATATGATATATATGTGGTTAATATAAAATAACATTATATATCCAAATTTATAATATATCACCTCAAACAAAGATAATGGTGTATTTTTTTTATCAAAAATTAAAATTTTCTAACATATTTATTTGGTTGATTATTTAAATGAGTGACTCTTTTAATTTTTCAATTTTTTTCAAATTCTTCTAATTTTTTCCAACATTTAACTCTATTATAATAGACCATGTAATTAAAATTTATTAAAGAGCGATATCAAAAAATACTCCGTACCGTAGTAGAGAAAACTATTTTAGAATTTACTCTAAATAAAAATAATATTGGGCCATTCTGCGCAATTGTTAATGGGTGATTATTAAATTTTTTCCGGCCCAAGCCCAACATGGTAACCCCTAATATAAATATACCCACCTTATTCATCTTTTGGGAGAAAGACCAAAGTAGGATTAAAACTTTGAAAATATACCAAAATAGGACTTCCATGTTTTTATTTCCAAAATAAAACTTACATTACGAACTGTGACCATATACATTACCAAAAAAGCATAGTAATTTGCACATGTACACTGCCACATTACCACAATGCAAAGTCACATTAACACAGTGCAAAGTCCTATTCCGAAAAAAAAACGTGAAAGTCCTATTTTAGTACTTTTATCTATATTTTAATCCTATTTAGGATAATTTCTATTCTTTTTTCCCCGGACTCCATTTTCGAGGCCTATTACTATCACAATTACACCATCTATTTTTATACTCCATGTGTCTCATATCTTTCTTCTCAATTTTTAGGTTCATCCCATTTGATGGTTCCGTTTTCATTTTTGACAAATAAAATCTACTCGCTCCGTTCTAAAATTAATTTCCTATATTGACTTTGTAATCAAAGTTTTTAAACTTTGACTGTGTAATACAGAAAAAATATAATGAATTTTCATATAAACTTAGTATCAATAGATTCATTTTGAAACATAGTTTTGAAATATATTATTTTGAGAATATATATATACATAAAAAATGAAGATAATAATAGTCAAAATACCGCATTGGAAACCGTGAAAAGTCAAATAGGAAGTTAATGTTAGGACGGAGGGAGTATTAAAAAGACCAATTTACCCTTCTTCTGGATCTTCATCTTCTATTATTTGAGACCAGTCAAACCAGCCCCACCCACGGCCCACCCACTCCACCCCCTTTTCTTTTTCTTTTTCTTTTTCTTTTTCTTTCTTCTTCTTCTTCTTCTTCTTTCTTCTTCTTTTTCTTTCTTTCTTCGATGTGTTTCTTCCCCCATTTCGTTGTGTTTTTTCATTCCGTAAAACACACCTCCCCTTCTTTCTTTCTTTCTTCGATCTGCTTCTTCTTCTACCATTTCTCTTCTTCTTCTTCTTCTTTGAAATTTCTTCTTCTACCCTAGCTTCTACGTTCCTTCTTCGTTCTTCTTCGTCACACCCCCTCCCGACCTTGTTTTTTTCCTAATTTTTGTCAAATTGCAAAGCTAATTGATCAAATCGTAAGAAGCTTTTGATAGATCTGTTCAAGAAGGGTAGATTTGTTCCGGGGTGGGGACGGTGAGAGACAAAAAGGGGCGACAACGGCGCGGGAGACGAAGAGAGGGGGCGATTGAGTAACAATCGTAGATTTGGGTATACTTTTTCAGCTTTTTATATATTTTGAGTTTCATAATTTCAGCAGAGTTTTGTTAATAATTACAAAAGCTAAAGGGTAAAGATGAACAGTAAATATTCCCGTCCAAATTCTTTGGGTTCGGGTAATGGCATTGGGCTTGTGGGGGACAGCTGTGTTGGAAAAGCAATTTTACACAGCATTAATTATGAGTATTGAGACCCGTGCAAAAGGAAAAAGAAAAAGGGCAAGCATTGATTATATTGAGACCCGTGAATATTGAGATATATGTGCAAAAGAAAAAGAAAAAGGCATAGGAATAGGCATATTTATTACAGGGTTTCTTTCCTACTCCCACACCATTAGATGTGCGCTAGCTACTTCAAATCTAGGGTCGTTCCTTCCGCAATAAGAATCGGGTGTATATGTCCAATTGAATTGAATTGTTTTCTAACTCGCTGTAAACGGAGGACGAAAAAGAACCACAACTGATAGATACACCTAGACCGGAGAAGAAGACTCAAGGTATTTTTTTTTTATTTAATTTTATGTTTTTTAGTTTTTGGATGTTTTGAACAGGGGTAGATTTAAAAAAAATGGATCATGTTAATAGCTTCATACATCGCAAGATATGTTGTTATAATTATCATGTGATGTATGAACAATTCCTGAGAATTATTTCTTGATTCTGCAGTTAGTATGGGTCATACTATTAGCTTCATTTGCAGCCCTTCTAATCCAATTCCTTGGAGCAAACATCAGAATCGTCACAGGCTTTACATTTGCTCAATCTTTGTCTGTCTATGTTCATATGTGCATACATAGTATTGGCTAAGGTTAGCTAATCTTAGCTAACCTTACATTTGTTTGTCTGTCACAGGCTTTACATTTGCTCAATCTTTGCTCAATCGTCACAGGCTTTACATTTGAAATTGCGTGTTGTGGTTTTGAGGTGTTTTTTGACAAGGCACGAGCCTCAACCTGAATCTAAAAATGTGGATATTACATATTTTAAATAGAACATAATTAATCCATAAACTTTGAAATATAATCTATAAACATTAAAGTAGAATCTTTCCAAATAAAAGATGTCAAACAAAAATAAAGTTGAATGGCAACAACGAGTGAAGGCATTGAAGGAAATTGGAAGGTTGAGCAGTGACTATGATGAGCAGTTAAGACGTAATTAGGCTAATATAGAATCAAAATGTGAAATTGTTTTTGGGACGGAGGGAGTATTTAATTACTTCGTATTCAGTTGAGGAGAGTTCACGTCTTGATGTTTTATTTTTCACTTTCCTGCTTTGAGCAGATTTTTTGTGCCTAACATACTGAATGGGATGTTGCAGATGGACAAGTATCAAGAACAAGGTGAACTAGTATAGTCGTATTTGGAGAGCATAGTTTTTCCCTTGATGGCAATTGTTCGTTCCAAAACAGCTGAAGTGAGGGAAGCCTCGGATGAAGTTCTCGAAGGCATTAAGCGCTTGTGCATTATCATTTATTGTTTGGTAACAGTTTGTGGATATAAGGCCGTTATCAGGTGTCTGATCTAGAGCTTGCGGTCTCTCTGTTGGAGAAATGCTGCATTGCACATTCAGCAACATCCTTGAGACAAGAAAGTACAGGCGAGATGGAAGCAAACTGTGTGATACTATTATGGCTTTCCATACTAGTGTTGGTCCCTTTCGACATATCATCTGTGGATACTAGCATTACAGATAGTCAGTGCTCAAGCACAAATGAACCACCTCCACTGGCACTGAGGATCATTGAATGCTCTAAAGACTACCTTTCAAATGCTGGCCCTATGCGTACTATACCTGGATTGCTGCTTTTAAAACTTCTAACACGCCCTGATATGTTGAAGGCCTTTAACATGTAATTTTGCATTATTTACTTATGACTATTTTGCATTATTTACTTATGACAGCTAAACTATTTGAAGTCAATTAGGCCAATAGGATGAAATACTAGCTATATATGGGGAGTCTTTCAAAACTCCGGCCAGGAGATTCTAAACATTGTGCAGGGACTTAATTGAGCCTTATATAGAGCTTTATAGACTTACTTATAGAGACTCACTGGATTTCATGAGTTTGTCTTTCATTTTGTTTTGTATGTGAGTGCATTGGCGCCTTACAACAAAAACTCAGTGCATTGGCGTCTTGGTCTTATGATTACATTTTCTTCTCCCAAGTTTTCTTTCATTCACCTTAGCAGTGTTTGATTAGTTTTGGAAACATTATTGCACAAGCTTGTTAGGTAAGTGACCAAATAATTAGAAAACTACTAGTAGAGAAAATTGCTTCAAATAATACTTAAACTACATGGCTTTCCACATATACAACCTATTAGTTTTTTTTTACTCAAATAGTAATTTTTTTTGGGTATTAATATGCCAAGTTAACCCTCAACAAATAACATCCGTCCCATGATTCAAACTGCCTTGCAGTTAATAATTAAAGGTTTTTTTTGCCCTATAATGTTTTGTGCGGCAAGTGCTGTTACAAGTAATGGAATACACATGAGTCTTGGTCCTATATGAGTATTTCTCCCTAACTAGTGTACCACATTCAATTTTCTGGGAATCAGCTCATCAAAAAATTGAGCATTGTTTCCACTCAATTTGTTAAACTACTGTTCTTACTCGAGTCACTTGCATTTAGTTCCATTTATTTTCCACCATATTATGTCCATGAATTTATGATGCTCATTACTTTTAGAAAACTAACGGACACTGTAGACATTGTGAACATAGTTGTGATCAAGGTGATTGTGATGATTTATTTCCACTTTTTTTCACCAGCATTATTGTTTGGGCACATGATGTCATGTCATCTGATGCAAACGACATTAATGATCACTTCCAGTTATTGGGTACAGTTGAAGCATTGGCTACCACATTCAAGGTTTGTTACCTCATCGTCTTCTATTTCCAGGGCTCTTCATGAATTTAATACAAAACAAATGTTCCTCTGCCCCTAAATAAGCACCAGTTTACAGATTACGACATGTGACTCAAGTTATTTTCAATTTTTTGAATATTTGAAAAAATAAAAAAATTACGTATTCAAAACTACGCCAAAAGTTTTATAAAACAAGAGGTACCCCCCTCACCATCTAGTTGTAGATGTACATTTTTTTGCACCTATGTTTGTATAATACTTCCTCCACCCCCTAAAAAACTTTCTACTTTCCTTTTTTGGATGTCCGAAAAAACTTTCTACATTATTTCCTTTTATGGAATTGAGCATGTGGCTCACAAAAACTTCTCCCCCCATCTAAACAGCTTCCAACCTCTCACATAATTCGATATTTCATTACTTTTTCTTAAACTCCGTGAAGTTAAGCAAGTTTTTTACGAGACAGAGGGAGTAGAACTTTTCTTCAGTAAAGTGAACATGCACATTCATTTTCATGTGATCTTAACTCCATTAATAACCTTTTATTGTCTTTATTTATAACTTAATCTCATTTAGATAAAATTACACAAATAGAAAATTTGGGTAATCCGTGAATTTTTCAAATATAGACTGGGAGTGCGCAAGTAGTGCTTAATGTGGTTCTGACTGTTTGGCAAGACACAGCTGCACTGGTGAAGTCTAGCAATGCAGTAAGAAGTGCATTGCTCCGCAAATATCTTGTAAAGTTAGCTCAACAAATAGGGCTTATGTGTTTGCCTCACATTTCTCAATCATGGCGCTACATGGTTAGTCTAATTATGGTGATTTTCAGGTTTCTTCACTGTTTCATATCCCATCACATCATGTCATACACAAAAGTTTTTGGAAAGTCAATGTACTCAGTGTTTAAAAGAGTAAAGTCACTAACTACTGCTGGAATCAGATAACGTTTTCTGGGATTATGCTGCTGATTTTCCTCTCAAGGTCTTTATTCTCTGTCTGTTTCATTATCTTGCAAGATCTAGTGTCTTTATGGATTGTTCATGAAAACTTCTTTATTGAAAAGACAACATTTCCACGAGTTCTCATCTTAAGGACTCATTATCTTCACCGTCTATGGTCTGTGCTGTGCTGAGCTAATATATAATAGAATATATTAGTGCATTTTTTTGGGTGGAATTGGATAAAATGGAGAGATGGAAATTACACCATCGATCATCTTCTAGCTATAATTTTAACATCTATTGTCGTCAATGACATACTTTTTATAGAGTTTACATGATGAATGACAAGAGATCTGGTGATGCCAACTCAACTTATGAAGCATAGAAGTGTTTCTTATAATTCAGCTTATTCAAGGATAATATCAACAAATTCATTTCATCCAGTCATTTTTATCCAAATATATATTATCATCACCTATTCAGCTAATGGGCTTATTATGTTCTTTTAGGCACACACTTCTGTCTTCTGCCGCTCTGCTGTTTTGGACTCCGTTATGGTGGAATTGAAATGATCAAAGGACGTCTCCAAGTCAAATGCTGGAATTGCTTCACTGAAAAAAAAATGAATCTAGTTATGTTTTCCTTCTTTTTTCCATTACCTTTTGTTTGGTTCAAGAAATTTTGGCTTTGTAACATTTTGAAAATCCAAAATGAATAGTTTTGCCAGCCTTCATTATACCAATTGCTTTGTGTCTTAATCATGTTAAGGTTATCCAAGAGAAAGTCGGCAGAAAAAAATAATATAGAAGTACATAACTCTCTTGTTTTGATCAGTAGCTTGACCAAATAATATAAATTTACACACAAAGCTTTTGTGAAGTACAAATAAAAGAGGCATCTATTTTTTTAAGCAACATTTTTTTTGTTAGATTTAGTTTTTGAATAATTGATACTGGTTTATATTTAGTTATTTACCATTATTATTATATTATTATATTAGGTAGTATCATTATTTATGGTTAGTTAATTATGTTATTATTAGAAAGTACTACCTCTGTTTCTCAAAAGAGTTCCTCTTTTGACTTTGGGGGGAAATAAGGAAGTGTTAAATTGTAGTTGACTTTCCAATTTTGTCCTTGATGTGATGGGTAAAAGTAAGATGTGATAGTTTAGTTGTTAGTGAAAAAGTATGATGTGATAGGTAAGGTATGAAAAAGTAAGGGTAAAAGTGGTTTTTTAATAGAAAGGAGAAGTGTTTTAAGAAAAACAAAAAAAATGAAAGAGGAAGGGTTTTAGAAACGGAGGGAGTAGTATTCTATTATTAGGATATTTGTTACCATTTATAATTAGGATTCGTCGTTTATTTAGTTTCATTCTACGGTAAGGATTCTTTAGGGGTGCTAGCTATATATTTATCCGCATCCCAATGAATTACGAATCAATGAATAAAGAAAATACTTTCTCCTAAATCTTAATATCTCTCTTTCTCGCCTCTTTTGTTCTTAGAGCTCGAAGGTGCTCAAATTTCTTCCCTATCCCAATACGATACCGTAGACATAGAATATCAACTTAAACATAACAATTTTAAAATTAAACATGGTTGATTAACTGTCTTTCCAAAATATTAAAGTTACAAATTTTTTTTTCCTTGAAGAAAGTTAAAATGTTGTACTCCCTCTGTCCCTTTTTAAATTGCTTGTTTGCCTTTTTTCTCCGTCCCAAAATAAGTTGCTTGTTAGTTATTTTCGTAAACTTTTAAAAATAAAATACTTAAACTATTCCTAAATTAAGTCACTATTTTTCACCTTATCTTCTCATTCATCATTACCCCTCCTAAAAAGTAATGTCAATTTTGAAAAAACAACTCTATTTTTTATTTTCTTAAATATGTTCAAAAATCAAAACGGGCGATTTAAATTGAGACGGACAGAGTATATACTTGCATGGCATGATATAGTGTGTTAAGTGAATAGTAAAAAGATATAAAAAGAAAAGTTAGGGCCCGTTGGTGAGTTTTGTTGATATGATATATGCGTTTTGAAATCTCATAAAATGATACGGAGTATGAGTTTTGAAATGCGAAACAAACTTGTTTCGAGGGATTTAAAATTATGATTTAATTAGTGATAAATTGGATGACAATGGTAGGCGATGGCAGAGAGGGGTCTTAGATATCAAATACCAGTCCATATTGATATCTCTCAAATTCAAGAGATATTGAAACCCTTCATTTTGAAAATTTATAATATTTGAAATGATCGAATTTGATATCTCTTTTAGCTTCTCCAAGTACCAAAAAAGGATTTTGATATCTCGAGACATTAAAACTTATACCCCCCGTCCCTGAATAGATTACAATCTTTTTTCTCTCTCCTCTCGATAACTTTTGTTTGTTTACGCGATTTCATCAAGTATTTGATAAAATAAAATATTCTTGTCACCTTTTGTTTTGTAGAACTTTTGACGTAATTTTTTAATATGTAATTTTTATAGCTTATTGATATACCAATTTGTAAATAAAATGATTTCAAAAAGTAGGAAATTTTACTCCGTAACCCGCAATTTGTAATCAAATTGGGGACGGAGGGAGTATCTTATTTGCTCACTAAACACATTTTAAAGGTTAATAATACAGGTATTAATTAATTACAGATGAAGATAATTAAGATAGACTAATGCTAGAGTAACAAAAAAACATTCACAAAAATAGATGGCAGCGTTGTTAGGAACTGAAAGTAAGGATAAGGCCATCATGCAAAGTCCAACGCTTGAAAATGTGACTAATAAATGGCTCATTATTAAAATTACTTGTAATCTCTTCATCTTAAAATTAATTTTTGAGTTTTAATTTTTCTCGTAAATATTTTTGAACTAACTTTGATGTCATATTACGAAAAACACATTAAATTTTCATATAAATTTGATATCAATATATTTCTTTTGAAACATAGTTAAATAAAGATATTAATGGCCAAAGTGTTGCATTGGATATAATTCTAATGGGACATATCTCCCAAAATATAATCTAGCAGTAAGCTAGCTACTTTATGACATTAGGTGGCGGATTTGCTCCAAGTACGCAGAAAATTAGTGCGGAATACCCATACCTTGATAATTTTCCAAGACATCCGCCTTTGTGATAAGGAGAATGCTAAAAACCCCCCACTCTTCCTACCATCCATGCCCCCCCTACATAAACATGTGGTAGGGAGGCAAGAAAAATAAAATTAAAGAGTAGAGGGAGAATGGATGGAGATAAATGTGTGGTGGAGAAATGGGTGGAAGCAAGATTGGTAGCAAAGGTGGGGGTGTGTAGCATGGTCCTTGTAAAAATTAGTGCGGAATACCCATACCTTGCTTTCTCTTCTTTTTGAATTCCTTCCAAGTTCCAATGACATCAGTCAATGGAGTCTTCATATCTTCCAATGACATCACCTCTGCTGATTGGCTTGCCTCACACCTTGGGTGTAGTGGTGCCACTGGTTAATGATTGTGAATAATAAAAGCAAACAATTACTACTCCGTTAACAAACAAATGGAATAATGAACATGGAAGAAATTAGTCCGTACAAAAACAGGGAATAGTGGGAACTTTTGTTCCACCTGTGACCATGCGCAACTTTGTCGGTACGGATAACTCCCAAAACAAGTAGTATTTCCATTCCACTCTCCCCTCCCCAAACCTTTTTAATTTCATTCATTTAATTGTATTTATAAAATTTAAAAATAAAATTTATATATTTAAATAATACTCCCTCCGTTCCCCAAAACCTATCTCTTTTTTTTTTGAATTCTCTAAAACACTTCCACTTTCTATTAAAAAACCACTTTTTACCCTTACTATGTCATACCCTACCTAGTATAATGAAGTAGATAATATTCCAAAAAAAACAATGTAATGAAACAAGAATGGTTATGAGTAATGATTTGTTGTCACACCCTCTCTCACGGCAAAGACTTATACTATGTTTGGTTCAAGGAATTTGGAAGGGAAAAGAAAAGAAAATGAAATGGAAAACAATTTTTCTTGTTTAGTTAGAGAGAAAAAGAAAAGAAAAGTGAAAGGAAAAGAAACTGGGAAGACAAAATACACCAAGTGGAGGGAAAACCAATTTCCTCCCATTTTGGTGAGAAAAATGAGAGAAAACCATTTTCTTTTCTCTTCCTTCCAAATTCCTTGAACCAAACATAGTTTAGGGTTCTCTTTTTGAATTGCTTTCTCTTTTTTTTTGGATTCCTTTCCAAGTTCCAACACTCCACTAGTAGTGCGCTGCAGAAGGAGACCCTTCTTTTTGATCCGTTAGTTAGTTGGGTTCTCAAGGAAGAAGATCGACAATGAGGGCTAGGGTTCCGTGACAAAAGAAAATTTTAATGGAATAAAAGTTTAAGCAATATTTTTTTCTTTGTTGTCATAAACTTTGTCAAAGGTGTTTTATCCGCGATTAGTTTTGTTAAGAAATTTTATCGTGTCATCAAAATTTTGAAGCCAACATCTTTTCTTTTTGAAGGATCATATTTTAAATAAGCATAGAAATAAAATTCGTGGGGAGCTAATCCATTTCTCTACACTCTCAACATACTACATACTCCCTCCATTCTCAAAAACACTTCCTCTTTCATTTTTTTCACTTCCAACAAAATACTTCACCTTTCTATTAAAAAACCACTTTTACCCTTACTTTTTCATACCCTACCTATCACATCATATTTTTTCTCTAATAATTAATCCATCACATCTTACTTTTACCCATCACATCAGGGGCAAAATTGGAAATCAACCATAATTTAACACTTCCTTATTTTTGCCTCCAAACCAAATGGGAAGGGTTTTTCCAAACGGAGGGAGTAATAAATAGTGTACCAACAAGTGAGCCGTCTCATTTAAAGAGCGAGAGTCACAAATGAACCGTCCACAAAGCTAACAAACTTGTCTTTTTAAGTTTTTAGTTGAAATAAGATGCACTTAAATAATAAAAAATATTTCAATTTAACATCTACAAAAGACAAATTTGTGAAGTTTGTAAGCTATTTATTTGTGACTAAAATATTTTCGAATTTATTTAGAACACTCCATTTATTTACTAACTATTATTGTAATCCTCCATGTACCATGTTGGATCAACACTTACCATTTTATTTTAGAACTCTCCATTTAGTTAGAATAGTTATGAACTTCATTTTACGGAGTATTAAGGTTTCTACAGTAAAATTGTTCATTATTAAATATAAAAACATAAAAGTGTCGTCACCAAAATATCTAAAAACGTAAAATTAAATCTATTCTTACGGTTAAATATATCAATTATTTAATATATTTAATATTATATATTATAATTATGGTTGTTACCTTTTATAGCTAGAGTTATTATTATATAATATTACCTTATATAATTAGTCATTAATGTGGAAGATTCTAGAATATATTCCTCCACCTATAAATACATGCTTTGTATTCCTCTTCAATTCATTCAATTAATAAAGCGTTCTATATTATTTTACATGGTATCAGAGCCACCGTTCTTGGTGACCTAAATTTCTCCGCTTTCGCTTCCGGCGGGCGGCACCGCCATTAACCGCCGCCCGCCGGATCACTGGTTTCCTCTGACCCAAACTCTTCCATTATACAAAAAAAAGATCTCTGTTATAGTCACCGGCGTCTCTAACGTTCTGACCGGCGACCCCTACTCCACCAAACTACCGGCCTCTCTTGGCGCCAAGATTGCACCTGTTCACTCGAGAGTAACATGAGGCACAGGTTCACTTTGCCTTTGAAAGGGGTGTCCTTGGTGTCATCGGTGTTCTAGGGATCGGACTATCAAGATGCCTTATCTCTCTAGAGCCTCTGATTTGGCTCATTGATCAGAAATCCTTCTCCTCCAATCACCCTTCAATCCATATTCTTTTCGATCTCTTACAACTCATATCATCACCCCAACCTCCTTCGTGGGTAGATCTTCGGTCAACATGCATCTCCGGCAGTACCTCATTCCTTGTGTTTCTTCTCTAACCCAGTCGCGCATGACTCCAGCGCGCGTCAACCTTCTCCCTCTTTCGATGTCAGCAGCATGAGTCTATTCGCAACGGCTCTTCTCCTCTCCTCATCAACGACGTCTTCACATCTCTTTCCTGGCAATCTTTCTTCTTCTTTACTAAGCTGGATGCATTCAGTCTACTCTAGCCGAAGATATGCCTCTAGCTTCTGATTACAATTCTGGTCACAATTCAAGTAAAGTTGGCGTTCAATCTTCACCGTTCAGGACGTTGGGAGCATGTTAAATATATCAATTATTTAATATATTTAATATTATATATTATAATTATGGTTGTTACCTTTTATAGTTAGAGTTATTATTATATAATATTACCTTATATAATTAGTCATTAATGTGGAAGATTCTAGAATATATTCCTCCACCTATAAATACATGCTTTGTATTCCTCTTCTATTCATTCAATTAATAAAGCGTTCTATATTATTTTACACTTACATATGAATTTGCAAATTAAAATTATTAAATATGGTAAAATAATTGGAAAAGTTTTTAAATTCTTTTATAAAATTTTAATTAAGGTAAATATTTAGAAAAGAAAGAAAGAGTAGACGTTAGAAAAGAAGAAGAGAAACTCGTCCGTCCACATGGCAGGATTTTGTTGGCCATCTTCTTCCACTTTTTCTTCTTCTCCATCTAATGCGTCCAGTCCTAGCCTCCTGGAGCACTCTTCTCCTCCGCCTTACTCCTCCGTCCAGTAATTACTCTTGGTATGCCCCCCATTTCATATATATAGATCCGCAATCCGTCCAATACGCTACGCGACAAAGAAGTCACCTTCGGTGACAAGCCACTAAAAGAAGAAATAATTTTTATTTTTTAATTCATATTCTTTTCATATAAAATGATTTGAATTAAAAAATAAAAATTATATATTCAAAAACTAAATAAAAAAATTTAAAAAACTAGTAGTGACATGCTATGTTATTTTATCAAATGACTAACAAAAATAGAAGAAAAAAATGAATAAAATTTAACACTGTAAATAATAATCACAATTTAATTTGGAAAGGAGAGAAATGTCTTTTGAAATTCGAACCGTGTTTCCATCACAATGCTTAAACTATAGTGATAATACCCCCACTTTCTATCCTCTTCCTCATTAAATACCCCCACTCCTATCAGATTCCCTAATAAATACCCCCTCCTCCCTCCGTCACCTTCTTCATCCTCACTCAGGCAGCTGCAGCTCCGATCATCTCTCTCTCTCTCTCAGCTCCGATCCTCTCTCTCTCTCTCCCTACCCGGATCTGGCCTCATTGACCGTGGAGAACCAGAAACCTTCTACAACATGCCACTGTTCTACATCCCCCTGGCGGCGTGGACACCATTCTCTCTCCCTAAAATCATTCTGCCAGTGACCCTTCCTCCCATTTCATATATATAGGGTTCCGCCAGTGCAGTTCTCACGCACCCAAGGACACCATTCTCTCTCCCTGAAATCATTCTAACACCTACACCTACAGTGACCCTTCCTCTCTTACTCCATCTCCACTTCCTCTCTCTTCATGGATGGCAGTATCAATCTCCCTAACCCACATCACCCAATCCCCGCCCGCTCTTATATAAAAGCGGCATTCATTATATTAAGTCTTCTAATCATTGCCGGACCCATCGGCATTCATAATATTCATTATATTAAGTCTTCTATTCATTATGTATCTCCTTTGGCGGTTGGTTCACTGCATGCAACGGACGCGCGGCGCCACACCCATCGCCACACCCCCACCCCCACCCCCACCCCCATCCCCAGCCCTACGCGTCTCTACACCCCGATCTCCACCCGTCTCCGCATCCCCATCCCGATCCGCCTCCGCACCCTCATCCACATCCCCATCCCCATCCCCATCCCCATCCCCATCGGCACTCTCTTCCCCATTCGCCTTTGACAGAGTGGAGCTCCCGAGCTTCACATTTGGTTCAGTCACGGGGNCTGCATGCAACGGACGCGCGGCGCCACACCCATCGCCACACCCCCACCCCCACCCCCATCCCCATCCTTACGCGTCTCTACACCCCGATCTCCACCCGTCTCCGCATCCCCATCCCGATCCGCCTCCGCACCCTCATCCACATCTCCATCCCCATCCCCATCGGCACTCTCTTCCCCATCCGCCTTTGACAGAGTGGAGCTCCCGAGCTTCACATTTGGTTCAGTCACGGGGTGCCTGACCAATGTAGAGTGCCCCATATGCCTCACGGAGTTTGAGGCACACGAGTGGCTACGGCGCCTTCCGTGGTGCCTACATGCATTCCACGCGGCTTGCATTGACCAGTGGCTCCATAGGAACGAGACCTGCTCGGTCTGTCGCTATCCTCTGTTTCCTACAGTGGCCCAGCTCGAGATGAATCTCCGAACTCCGCTTACGACCGCGGCAGTTCTCATTTCGAGATTGGAAGTCCAAGCCGCCGCCGCGAAGACTCCCTTTCTGCATCATCCCGCTCCGCCGCTAGCGACAGCGGTAGTTCTTATTTTGAGATTGGAAGTCCAAGCCGCCGCCGCGGAGACTTCCTTTCTGCGTCATCGTACTACTCTGCCAGTGGTTCCTCGTTACAGGACATTGTGGACGACCACAATGAAGTCCCGGCCCGGTGAAGTGACGGCGCGGGTTCGACTGACGAATTTGACCTCTAGAGGCTGAGAAGACTAGTAATTAGCTTGGATTAGTTTTGTTATTTTGGTTTTTATTTTGGAATATTTGCACTAAATAGCACTAATACTTAAGTCATTTCCCTAAATAGCACTTAAATTGTTTTATTCCCTAAATAGCACTTTATAATGTCCATAATGTCTAGTGATGAAGAATATTTACTTGAATAATGACTAATGCACAATGACTAAAAGTGTTATATTAAGAAGAAAAACACATGCAGTGCTATTTAGGGAAAGTCATTATGTTAAAGTGCTATTTAAGTAAATTTCTCTTTTATTTTTCGGTTACTATTTGGTGCCACTGTGCCAGCTGGCTTTCTGTTGAAAGGGACTTTGGCTATTTACGGGGCTTGCACCCCTTTTGTAATGTTCAGTTGGGGAAAACTTCACAAGCAATCATGAAATCATCTTCTTCTTCCTTCTTATCAAATTTATCAGAGGCTCACCTCTGAACGATTTCCGAGTTGCTCGAATAGTATTAGATGTATATGTTGTTTAAGTATATTAAAAATTAACTTTTTAGTTATTCGTTTTGTTTATTTTATATTAAGTCATAGTAAATCACTACAAAATTTTGCGGCATTTGCGACGGAAATATATGTCGCAAACCCTTTGATTTGGTCGCAGTCTTCTGAATTGCGACGGGTCGGCGACGGAAAAATTCCGTCGCAAATTAATTGTTGCATTTTAAATATTTGCGACAGAAATGTTAATCTGTCGCAGGTCTGCGACAGTGTTAGCGACGGGCAGCCAACTTTAAAAATCTGCGACAGAAAACCTCGTCCGTCACAAATGTGCGGCGGAATTTGCGACAACATATAATGTTTTTTTATTTTGTACTTCTGCGAAGAAATTTGCGACAACAGCAAATTTTTTTTATTTTGTAATCTGCGACGGAATTTGCGACGGAATAAATCCGTCGCAGATAAACCAGATATCGGCAACCTGTTCTGCACCAGATTTCAGCAACCCAATAATACAATAGCATTTCAACAACACAGCATATAAACAACAGCATTGAAACATCATAATATTATTCAAATTCCTTACGAAACACAAATTATTACTCAATTCATTGTCAATCACAACACCATATTCATTAAAACATAATTCAATCAAATTCATTTTCAATCACAACACAATGTTCAATAAAACACATAATTGTCATAAGTTGTTCATGCTACACAACCAGTTCCTGAGCCTCCCATCCCATCATCAGGGTCCCGAGGTGTCGGAAGATTTCCACCACACATCATTCGAATTTGTTCAGCAACTGTCAATTCAATCTTATCTAACCTTGCCTTCATGACTTCGTTCTCCGCTCTCAACCGCAGGTCTGCGACAGTGTTAGCGACGGGCAGCCAACTTTAAAAATCTGAGACAGAAAACCTCGTCCGTCACAAATGTGCGACGGAATTTGCGACAACATATAATGTTTTTTATTTTGTACTTCTGCGACGAAATTTGCGACAACAGCAAATTTTTTTATTTTGTAATCTGCGACGGAATAAATCCGTCGCAGATAAACCAGATATCAGCATTCTGTTCTGCACCAGATTTCAGCAACCCAATAATACAATAACATTACAACAACACAGCATATAAACAACAGCATTGAAACATCACAGTATTATTCAAATTCCTTACGAAACACAAATTATTACTCAATTCATTGTCAATCACAACACAACATTTATTAAAACATAATTCAATCAAATTCATTTTCAATCGCAACACAATGTTCAATAAAACACATAATTGTCATAAGTTGTTCATGCTACACAACCAGTTCCTGAGCCTCCCATCCCATCATCAGGGTCCCGAGGTGTCGGAGGATTTCCACCACACATCATTCAAATTTGTTCAGCAACTGTCAATTCAATCTTATCTAACCTTGCCTTCATGACTTCGTTCTCCGCTCTCAACCGCAGGTTTGCGACACTGTTAGCGACGGGCAGCCAACTTTAAAAATCTGCGACAGAAAACCTCGTCCGTCACAAATGTGCGACGGAATTTGCGACAACATATAATGTTTTTTATTTTGTACTTCTGCGACGAAATTTGCGACAACAGCAAATTTTTTTTATTTTGTAATCTGCGACCAACAGTGAAATCATTCTGCCACCAACAGTGACCCTTCCTCTCTTACTCCATCTCTACTTCCTCTCTGTTCATCGTTCATCAAGATGGTAGTAACAATCTCCGCAACCCACATCACCCAATCCCCGCCCGCTCTTATATAAAAGCGACATTCATTATACTAAGTCTTCTAATCATTGCCGGCATACTTATGTATCTCCTTTGGCGGTTGGTTCGCCGCATGCAACGGACGCGCGGCGCCACACCCATCGCCACACCCCC